TTGCGCACATACTAATATTATATTATACATAATAATAATTATATATTATATAACTAGCTGGGCTCCCTTCCGATGAAAGGAATGATCGGTGCATTAACAGCAACTGAAAGGCATTGGCCTAACTATACGAGGGGTACACCAAAAGTTTTTACCTGACCATGAAGGAATAAAGGTAGAAGGCTGAAATATGGGGTGAAAGCCAACAATCATCTTCCAAGTGTGCATGTCAATTTTGGAGGGTTTCCGATAACTGGTTTTACCACCAGCGCACTGTAAGTTAATGGGGGTATGTTGTTCTCCAGTTTCAACAAACAAATGAAGAAAATTGAGCACAGGGCAGTAATGAAGTTTTTGTTCTTGCAAGGCAAGCAACAGCAGGATATTTTTTACGAATATGCATGCCGCATATGGAACTGATTGCCCATCCTATGGTGTGATGAAATTTTGGAGTAACAAAAGTCAAATGCAGATTCGTGGGCATTAGAGGGCTCGTTTCCTGACAGAGAGAGGGTCCTCTATTCTCAAGGTCTTTTCAAGGTCATACACTGATTGCAAAAATGTGCAACTGTGGGAAGCATCTACCTAGAGAAAGACTACGCTTAGTGCTAAATTTCAGCTTTCTACCTTTATTCCTTCATGGTCAGGTATAAAAACTTTTGGTATTCCCCTCGTCTTTACACTCTTCTGGAATGGAGCAATAAATCTGGAGAGAAAAGTGACGTATGTTTTTTCAAGTTACCAAATATATTAATAGATGTATATATTGATTCTCTACTACGCTTTCGTGGTTGTACACTGTGGAGCTGTGCGCACGGCTAGTGAACGGAAACCTCACCTGTTTGCAATTATCGTCTTAGAAGACGGGCTTTCCCAAGATAAGATCTAAATGAAAAACTGAAAATGAAACTAAAGTGACTTCAGACTCCTCAATAAAACAAACTTTGCACCTCTAAATGATTCTGAACCATCATTGATTTTGTCGAATTCGAAAGTTAAGTGGTTCGGAAGTTTAAGGCGGCCAAAGTGACGAACTTTTACAAATAGAATTTACTAGCTGGGTACCTCGTTCGATGAAAGGACTCTTTACTTTACTTTTCCGTTCCAGGATGAAAGGAATCAAAAGAATTGATCGTCTTGAACTGTGGGTCTAGTGCGCACGGCTAGTGAACGGAAGCCTCACATGTTTACAAAGGCGTTTTAGAAGACGGACTTTCCCAAGATTAGGCCCAAACGAAATTAATGAAAAACTGAAAATGAAACTACTGTGACTTCAGGCTCCTCAATAAAACTGTGTACCCTTTAAATGATTCTGAACTACCACTAATTTGGTCAAATGCGAAAGTTAAGTGGTTCGAAAGTTTTAGGCGGCCAAAGTAACAAACTTTCACAAATATAATATGTAGAGATAGAGATATCTGTCTGTGTATGTGTGTGTGTGAGTGTGTGTGTTGTGTGTGTGTGTGTGTGTGTGTGTGTGTGTGTGTGTGTGTGTGTGTGTGTGTGTGTGTGTGTGTGTGTAGCTATGGTGTGAGTGTGCGCGTTGTGCCATGCATCTCTTCATGTGTGAGGTACAAGTAGTAACGACATTCTGATTCATCTCCCCGACACCATGAGCCAGATTACAGCGATCGTGAAACCCGAGTTGCACTCTTTGAATACCAGGTCGTCACGGTTCCCACCTGTTCTGGTGTCGACCTCTCCTGGCGTCCCGGCATAGCGCACTGATCGTGATCGCAATAATAATATTCGTAGATTCTACGTGACTATATTCACCCTCTGTGTCCTCTTGGTGCGTCTCAATGTTCCCTATTCCGTGCCAAGTACCACTGCCCCCCCCACCCACCCATCCCTTTCTCGTCCCTACTCCCAACCACAACCACTACCAAACAAAACATTTTTTTTTTAGAAGGAGATGTAGATAGCTAAACCAGGTGTGTACTATAATTGTTTTGGAAAACATGGAGAAGACATTACTATATCTTTGACAGTTAAAGAGTTCGTTAACATCATGTACTGCACATGTAGCGACACAAATAAGGAAAAAACCTCTCAACTGTCACATCTGTCCGTTCAAATATAACGAACACTTTGACTATATAAGGTATGTCTTCTCCAGGTCTTCCAAAACAATAATGAATTATAATTCACCTGGTTTAATTATCTACATCTCTCCTTCGGGAAAAATGAGTATACACGTGTACGTACATACATTCACTCATGTTACAAAATGCCGTCCCCACAAAAGGGGGGAAAGAGAGGAGGGGGTGGGGCGTATTATGCCATTAATACAACAATAATTTGGGCTTCGACTCTATTTTGGAAAGGACGATAGATGGCACTTAGACCAGATGGTTGTTTTCGATAATGCGCTGGTTTTTTTTTTCTGTAGTCACATAAACATTGCATAGAACAACGTTTGGGGGCTCTCGTGGCCTAGAGGTTAAGGTGCTCGCCTTTCATTCAAAGGTCCTGGGTTTGAGTATGGAGTGGGGAGAGGG